CAACTATGAGTTGTTAGATAACGCAACTCTGAGTGACATGTACCTCCTTCTTCATTGGTGCGGCCTCGTCCAGGCACAAGTCTCAAAATCCAGATGTACTAGGATCCTCACATCTAGACCGGCACATTGGTTGCATCGGTGGTCGGCGGTTACGCGAGACCGACACCGATCTGGCCGTTGTCGATCTCCGGCGCTCCGCTCCGCCTGCAGATGGGGTCCATTGTCCCTCGGGACCGAAGCCGGCCTGCTCGGGGACTTTGCCAGAGAGAGAGTCTACAGACTACAGTCGACGCTCGAATGTGGTTGCGCGGTTCGCATTTTAGGGCCAGCGACATCGCCTAGTGTCGTCATCGTATGGCTAGATGAAATTCGATCGGTCGCGAAACCCATGGATCAAACGAACATGGCGAAGACCCCAGGACCCTTAGACCAAGTCGGCAAGTCCAAATGAAAGGTTATCGGGGGCTTTGGGGGCGACCACCCATCTTGCTGTTGATGAGGGTCGAATTCACACGAGTCGGTCAGCCCTTCGGATCCCATCGGGCAAGTTCACGGGGGCCGGTTGCTGAGGTACCCAATCTGATCGAGAATGCAGTGATTGGCGCTCACAGGTACAGCGGTAGACAAACGTCCACGGATGTGCCGGAAGTTGAACAACCGGGGCGAGAAAATAGGGTCTGATGGAGTCGGCATTCTGGTCTGCAGCGCTTTGGAGGAAGGACATGTTGGTTTGAATCCCTACGAAGAAATAAATTGAACTAACAAAACAGGTATCAGCTGCACGCTGCTCTACCAACGCCATGATTCTAAAAACTCCTTGGAAACCCTATCATGCCCCCCTAGTGCGGGTAATCGATATCAGATGTAATTGATGAGTGATAGTCCACGTCCCGATCCCGGTCCGACCAACGGCTGCGTGCATCGGCCTCGCGCTCTCGCTCCTCAAGGTTGATGGAGCAAGAGACTTGGACCGCACATCGGGAACATGGACGGCCAGTTCCCGAGAGCGTCGTAGTGGTGTGTGGAGACACGTTGGCGTGCCGTCAACTCCGACCAGGCTTCGAGGATCGAAAATGTGTCGCCTCAGTCTGTTTGGACGCGCTGCGCGCTGTTAACGCCGTGGTTGCGCCGTGATTTGTGGCGGTTTTGGCTTCCGCCAACACCGGATTGAACCCCGCCAATCGCAGCACCCAGGCCCTACTTCCGTGCTTCCTTGCTTCCTATCCCTCTGCCCCAGCTTCCCGTTCGGGAAGTGGTTTAATGGGAGCTGCTGACAGTGGAAGCAGACGACGTGCTGCTCTGAGTGTCTGTCGAGTTGGTTCTGGTAGCCTTCATGCGTTCACTGAAGTGGCCTGTCAGTATAAACTTCTCGGCCGTTGGTTGCAAAACTCACTGGGTAGAGCGATCCAGGAGGTGGCACTCATACTTGGCGGTGCCGGACTTGATCTGGAACTTGATGCCCTTGTTTTCCAAGACATTCTGGAGCTGACCCTTCTGAGCGTCGGCGGAAGGCATTGTGACGGTTTGATATTGTTATTTGAGCAGGAATGATATATGAGCTGGGTCCCTGAGGAGTAAAGACTGGAGAGAGCGGCAGGGTGTAAGCAGTAGACGCGTGAAGATGGCTGACCCGGGCACGGAGGGTTTGGGATGAGGGAGGGAAGTCTGCTTCAATATATAGGAAAATAGCTCAGTGTACCTTATGTAGAGTGAGAGAGAGTGCCGACTTATCCAGGGCTGTTGGACACGCCGAGTTGCGACGAACAAGCGCGACGAAGGGCCCCAACATGGAAAGAACCACGATTGGATCTACGAGGACGGATAGTGTATGTACCTACGAATACACCACCTAAGCTTAGGTGCGGCACGGTTGTAGGTACGAGAACCCCTGCAGAAGTGTCAAGTGGCCGCCCGGCAGACAAGGCAAGGGAAGCCGATGTGAGCGATATTCTGGACTGGACTGGACTGGAGATGCAGATGCAGAGCATGGGCCCAGAAACCCCAACTGAGGACGGCGAGGCACCTCATGTAGGTATCCATCTGGTACATCCTACTTATCATCCCGTTCTGCTTGTATCGCGTACCTACCGCCTAGTCTGTGTCTACCGTCCAGGTCTGTGTCTCCGTGCCGAGGCCAGAGTCAAGTGCCCAGACATTAGAGGGTCCTGCCATGATGTCGACTAATCACAGGCACTGCAAGGAAACCCGACATGGTTGCAGAAGCTTCTTTCTTGAATCCGACGTATACGGGTACGCGGGATGCAGCGACTGTCAATTTGTCCCATTCCCGTTGACATTCCCAGTCCCATCGGTTCCCATTCGCATTCATGTTTCCGCCACTGGCTAGTGGTCAACATTGGAGGAGATGAGCAGGAGCGCTTAGCGTGGGGTTCCGCATGTGCGGTGAGACTTGAACCGCGGACCAAGTGGTGCCTCCAGGTCCTCCACTGCGACGGGAGGAGGCTTCATCCCAGTTGGCAAATGTGTGTGTGTGTGCGTGTGTGCTGCTATCGCGGACGAGAGCGAGGTTGTAGATGCCCTGAGGCGAGCGAGCCCCGCCGAGTTTCCCGCGAATGGTCAACCTCGAATTGTGATCATCATAGCGAGGCTTTCATTTCTGCTCGTCTCACGCCAACCTCCCCGCCCACAACGTGTTTGCATCTGATACAGCCGAAAGGATCAGAGGACGGTGTCCCACCCAAGGTTCAAAGTCACACTGAGGTGCATCCGCCATCCAGGTCGGCCTCAAATTTTCACTGTCATTATGTGATACTCCGAGAAGCAGAGACGAGAGCTGGTTAGCTGTCGTCGGCACAGTAGGGCAAGGAAACCCAATGCCAGGAGGGCTGAACCTGGAAAGAAGAACGAAAAAGCGTCGAAGCAAATGCTTCCAGAAGCATTCCACACTTCGCCAAGCCTGCGCGGAAGCTTGGTCCTGCCTGAATCGACCAAAGTGCCATCCCATCTTTCTCTCATGCGCTCCGATGCACCATCCCCAACAAGTCAAGAGCCAGAGTCTTGGCCTGGACTGGCCTGTTCTCTGGCCTTCCCCATGCCCCAGCCCATCCCATAATCGGCTCAAATCCTCAGCACTGCAGGATCAACTCTTTGGCAAGGTGAAGCAGCCCAGGAGCATTGTCAACAATACTTCATTGGAGGAGCAGTCGCCCAAATATCGGGGGGGGGGGGGGGGGGGNGGGGGGGGGGGGGGGGGGGGGGGGGTGGGCAGAAGAGCTGAAGACCACACGCCATGGACGCTCCCGTGCACCGCTGCGTTATGTATGTCTGCGTAGGCCCCTCTGCAAATGCCTGTCCATTCCCTCCCTTCTTCTTTGGCGATCCCCATGGGGAGAAAGGTCAACCTGTGTCGGTCAAGGGAAAGATGGAACGTGCTCCTCATACCCATCCACGTTGACACGGGGCACCCATTCAAGAGACAGGACGATGCCTAGCGGATCCGACACACGTCGAGCAGCTCAGGTTGATTCGGTTCACGGGGCTGGCTGGCAGGAGAATGACAAGACCACATTCTGGCCAAATGACTCGCATTCATTCCCAACCGCTTGAGAGTGTCTGCCAGACGTGCTTCCACAGCGGCCAGGCTTGGTCGTCAAACAGCTGAGGAAATACTCGCTCCAACTCAGGTTGAAGAAGTCCCTCCCGTAGTCCGAGGGATGGCCGAATCTCAAAGTGAACCATAGCCCGCCCCATGAGACTGGATAAAACCAAGCCTTGGCCGCATGTCACGACTCGGAGGTCGTGGAGCCGGGTTTCTCGTAGCGCTCTTTCCACTGGACGGAGGCCGGGATGCTCCACAAAACCCCGTTGAAAGTGAGGCCAAGCATCTTGGACAAGAGACACTGGACCTTAATTAGTGTAGAGTCGAAAGTGAGGCCAAGCATCTTGGACAAGAGACACTGGACACCTTGACAGACACGGACGAGAAGACGACCACAAGATCAAGTGACGAAACTCAAAGCTCAGGCGCGTTACCCGTCTGGTGTATCCACCGCGGGTTTTCGTGCAGCATGCTGACCTTGGGATTGGCCGATGAGATGGCTGCCCTCTCGGGCCCGGAGATTTCGTCACCGACAAAGCAACATGACATTGACGATGAAATATAGCTGCGATGCTTGGCACACTTGGCCAAGGCCACTGTCTGCTGTTATATCGCTCGTTCCCCTCATTAGCCCTCCACTTGTTCTCGAAGCCGAAGAGAAGGTCCCCTTGTTCGTGGAGGACCGCTGTCCGACAAGTACCCAAAGTATCTCTACAATAGCGTCACTTACGAAGTCCACCGGTCTGCTCGCATTGGTGGCATGCGGTCGAACTCAACCAGGCGTCGCGATCCGATGGGGATCGAAATCCTCCAAGAGAAAGGACACCGCTAATCAATCTTCAGCGTGAGCCTGCAAGGACCTCTGGAATCCCCGTCGCGAGGCTGATTTAGAAAGATGATCTATGGTATTCACAGCCCGGAGTCTGTGCATGATAATGTCGGGGTGTTGCACCGCAATTGCTGCTCGGTGGAAGAAGAAGGTGCCGCCCCCTTACTGCGGTACCTACGGTAGGTGAAGCTGGCCATGGCCAGCGGTGCTCTGAGCCGGCAAGACCCACACCCGGCCCGAAAGGTCGTGGTCACTCAACACTCAAGTACCTAGTCACTGAATTACACCACCCCGACCCACCTCTTTTGCGAACGCGTAGGTATCAGTACCTAGGTAAGGTTAGGTAATATGCTGAGCTGAAGTCGGGTCGCTGCTCCGGCTCCTACCACCGCCCTGGACTTGACATCACCGAGTGAAGCTGGCCACATCTGCGACCGAGTTCTTCCTTGCGCTTACCGACGTCCACAGGTGCCTCTTGCGGCTTTTGGCGCTTCCAGTGCCTCCTGGGAAGCATTGTGACTAGCTGCCCTTTGGCCAATGGAATCTGCTCTCGTTCGCATTTGAAACGAATCGCTGCTCCACGTCCTCGCCAGCTGTGCGCTCCCTCACAGAACCTCCGGCCGCTTTCCGACCACAAACAACAATAGCGACAGCAAACAAAGATACCCAAACATGTCAGACTACGAGCGAACCATCCTGGAATTCTACCAGCTTCCCAGCCCGTACCCGAACGAATGGCCCGACGAAAAGAACCAGAGCGGTGGATCCGACGATGAGGAGAAGGATGAGAAGAAGGCAAAGCTGAATCGCCGCAAGTCGCGATACCAGGCGCTCGAGCGGGCCGTCAGCAACCGCAACAGCATGATTCCCGGCTCGCAGTCCGAGAAGGGCGGCATTGGCAATATTGTCCAGCGAGATGAACCTGACCCCTTGGGCACCACCGACAGCGTCGTCAGGACTCTCCGCCAGCTCGGAGTGCCGATCCAAGACGACCCTCGTTTACGTACGTAACCAGCCCGGGTAGGAGAGACGGAGACGGAGACGGAGACGGAGAAGAAGGGACGGTGGAAATGCCGCGATTGTTGACCCGATGCTAACACAATGCCCAGGCAATCGGTTCCTCCTCTCCTCTACAACCTTCTCCCCCGCCCTGTTTCTGTCACAGATGCACGCGACTGCCGACACTCAAAGCTTGCTGGTCGGCCTGGACGTTCTGTCTCAGTCAATTGATCAAAAGTCTGCATCACTTAAGGTCTTGGTGGAAACCAACTTTGAGCGTTTCGTCAAGGCGAAGGCCACTATAGATAATGTCTACAAGGAGATGAAGTACCGCGGCGCGGAGCCGCCACCTCCGCCAACGACCGGCCGCCCTCGAGGCCATTCTCGACATGCTAGCCGAAGCAGCTTCCGCAGCAGCAATGGCGGCATCGCCCTTGCCAACAACCTTGCATCTCCCACTTCAGACACCCGGAAAAAGAACGCTCTCGTCAAGGAAAGCGAGTACGGCATTGCAGGAATCAAGGCGCCTCTGCTAGACGTGTCCGCCAAGGCCGAGGATGTTTGGGGCCCTGCTCTTGGAGGTCGCGAAAAGGAAGAGAATCTCAAGATCGTCTCGGCCAACCTGGAGCACTTCAAGGAGTACGTGGAATTGAGCTCCGCCATCGCGGACAGCATCAAGCGCCGAGACTACGAGAGTCTCGTTGAAGAATACAACAAGGCGCGCAAGTTCTCGGACAATGCGCGCTACCTGGCAGCAAACGTATCGGCAAGCAATTCAACAGACACACAGCTCTATCAGATCGTACTGGCAGCCCGCATGTGGCACGATGTTGACGAGCAGATTCAATCGTTCAAGCGGGATGTCTGGCGAAAGCTTGTCACTCTACACAACGTTTCTAAGGCCGACAACTTGGGACAACAGGACCAGCACATGGAGTTGATTAGTCTTCTCTTGGAGTTGGGCGTGGACGACAATCCGATCTGGGTTTGGTTGCTGAGCCGATATGACTATCTTAAGGGCAAAATCCAATCGACGTCGGATCGTTCCAAGGTTGAAGTCGAAGTGCTGCGTCGCCGGCTGGCAAACGCCGAGAAGCCGGGTCCCCATGCGGTCGCATCACACCTCCGTTCACTGGGTCGCGTGGCCGTCGAAAACAAGATCGCGTCGGCCGACTCGGCTGACGTTATTGAATTGTGGGAGAAGATGCTTGCGTACCTGTCCAGTGTTCTCTCCTCGCAAGGAATCCTGGGAGAGGTCGTGGATTTCTGGCAGACTGTACAGGGTTTCCTGGATGGCAAAATTCAGCGGACCATGCCGATAGGCTACAACGGAGAATCACAAGAACATCACCATTTGACGGAGCAAGGAGCCGAAGACCTGCAGAAAGGCACACTGGAACTTGTCGATATGATTCGGGAAACCGTCTTTTCCTTTTTCGCTGGCCCGCCACCAGAGGATATCTCGCTTCTATTCTCGCCTCTACCCATGTCACCTAAGAGCCCCCCGTCCGCTTCTGCCGGAACGCCAACAGGCATGCGAGATCCCCGGCTTAACCTCGATCCTAACAACATTCCCCCTCCCTCACCCAAGCGCGGCGAGACCTGGGAAAAGCTGGCCTTTTGGCCTCCGTGGTCGAACTCTGTTAGCGGTGTTCATTATCTCTCCAAGATGCTTGCTCTTGTTGGATCGGGAGCGTCCGACTTGGCGAGCATCGGCCCCGTTGTGAATGGATCGGATGCCAGCGTCTTGGACAGGCTGAAGTCGCTGGTGAACGTTTCCCGGGAAAGATGTGTCACCGCGCTATGCGCCGCTTGGAACAAAGATGCCGAGAACATCAAGTACGTCGAGGACTGGTACCGCTCACCAGAGCTGGGCGACCTTACTCGGATGCCCTCCAGCTTTGCAGCTTTCGAGGGCGCGTTGCTCGCAGGCATGCAGAAAATTCTCTACATATCTGAAGCCATGTCCAAGCCTGGTGCGGGGGATATCGTCCTCCCACCGCCTAGTAAGCTCTTACAGATGGTGAGAAGCCAATACGTTACAACGCTCTATAAGGCGCTGAGCGGTATGGTGGAAAACGCCGAGAGATCTGTCAAGAAGGCTGATGACGATTGGACGACTGATATTGACGGCACCATCGCCACCACCGCCCCNTCAAGAAGGCTGATGACGATTGGACGACTGATATTGACGGCACCATCGCCACCACCGCCCCACCCGCCCCTACAGGCGGAAGGGCGACTCTCGATGCGGGAGACAGGGTAAGCCGCTCCCATACACATCGACGATGGACCATACTAATTTTATGTAGAATGTCCGTATGCTCCTCACCCTCAGCAACCTGCAAGCACTTCGAGCCAAGGTTGTTCCGAATCTTAACTCGCAGTTCGAGAACGCCTTCTCGGTGAAGCTTAGCGACGAGTCCAAGACGATCAAGGACGTCTTGGGCCAGATCGATGCGAGACTCTTCCAATCATACACTAGACCGTCGATAGAATCGCTCAGGAACATTGTTCGAGCCGGTGTCGCAGCACCCGATTGGGTTCCCGAGACGGGACAGAAGCCACGAGAGGCGAAGCCCTACGTCTACGAGGCTCTGCTCAGTCTTGTTCTTGTTCACACTCAGGTCTCTACAACAGCCCCGACTCTCACCTCGCAAGTGTTGTCCTACCTGCTCGAGCAAACCAGTCGTGAGCTCCTCGAGGCATTCCGCACTCGGCAACGGTATACGCTCGAGGCTCTAATGCAGGCCACCCTCGACGTCGAGTTTGTGGCCCAGACTCTAAGTCAGTACACAACAGACCGCGCCTCCCAGCTCCAAAGTGAAATCTATTCGGAACTTGACGGACGCACCGACAATGACGCGCGCGCTCGGCTGCAAAGTGAACTGCCAGAGATGCGCAGCGTGCTCAAGCGACTGCGGGAGGCGAGCAAGAATGAATTTGCGTGCTTCCGCAAGCCGAAGCGTCCTGGCATGGGTCCTCAGCGCACTGGGACGGGAGATTCTGCCGCTAGTATTACGAAGGGCTAGAGGCCTCCTCCGGAATGCAGCTGGAGACCTATATATTACTGAGTCGTTATGTCGCATCTCCCAGAAGCTCTGTTCGTGTTCATGGACCACTTGCTTGTTGCCAGCCGTATCGTCACGCTTGATGCTGATGACGGATGAGATACAACCAAGCAACCTAGGGCGCAGCTCACGATAGCATCGCACGATAGCATCGTAGGAGAAAAGGAGCATGTGTCTCATGAGTAACGCGGGCGAAGATTTGAAGGCTCTGTGCGAAGCATAATGCCAGGGCTTTTGGGCGCGCCGATAAAGAGGAAGGCTTTCGTGTTTGCCAAAGGCGCAGGATGCGTGCGCAAATGTTGAATGTTCAATGTCGTATAGCCCAATGTTTGGCAATAATAGAGTTGCACGTGAGAGCTTTTATCAAGTGACTTGGAAGTGCTTTGTCATGAAAGTGTCGATATATTTGCGGCAAGGGTTTCGAGGGGTATCTATGGGCAAATTCTCCTTGAAAGTGTGTGTGTGTGTGTGTGTGTGTGTGTGTGTGTGTGTGTGTGTGTCTCCCACTGGGAGACCGACCGAAGGGATTTTTGTAAGCCATCTTATAAACAGAGGTCCGTCAATGAAGTCCATGTTTGTTGTTTGATGATTTCCGATGTATACGCAAACCTTGAAAGGCTAGAAGAGCTTTTCCATTCCCAAGAGGGCCTAACATCATGAACTCCAGTCCTTTTGCGCTTCTCGTGCCAAAGTTCTGTGGTGCCTTCTCCAGCCTTATTTTTCTTTTCTCTCCCTCTTTTCTCTGCACCCGATTTTCTTCCCTGTCTAATCCCCTATTTTGATTCATGCGTACATGAGTATCGAAGTGAAGGATAGGTCATACATCGTAATGTCTCTTTTTGTCATTGATGGTATCATACCTCGTGGCTTTTTTCTTTTTTTTTTCTTCCCTTTTCTTTCTCTTTTTTGTCTTATTTCTTCGTTCTCATCCATTCATTCGTCATAGGAGTCACACATCAACTCGCTCTCTTGCCGCCTACTTTCTGGGACTGTCAGGTCCGTCTCCTGAGATCAAAAGCCGTGTTCGCCGTACTAGACGAGCACTGTAGGAAGGGTGTCAGCGACCGTTGGGGAGCCGACAGCAGAAGGAGCCGAGGTTGGAGGCGGTGGAGGTGTGGTATGGCCGGAGCTAGTGGGCGCACCCATGTGGTGACCGGCTGTGCTCTCTCCTTCCTTCGGCGGAAGCAGGACGTGACTGCAAAAGTGGAGTTCCAGAGAGCGGGATGTCTCTGGACTGAAGGCGCAGGTTTCCAACTTGCGAACGACGTCGTCGTCTGTCAGAGTCCAGAGGGTCAGTTATCGTGATACAGCAGAGAGGCAATGGAACAAAGGTTGTCTTACAGTCAAGGTTCAGCGCATTGAAGAAGTCCACTATTGGAGCATGGTCGGGATCGCCAATGTCGAGTACGGTCAAGCGCCCGTCGAGTGCCCGGAATGTCTTCGGATGGGCCTTCCGGAGGGTCAGCAGCATCTTCAACAGGTCTGCAATCTCGTGGCCTTGGTTGACATAGCATGAGGGTGGACGGTCCAGAGGCCAACGCTGGCGGAAGTCGTCCATCTCCCAAACCTTGAAAGTCCAGGTGGTCTTCTCAAGACAGTGCAGGAGGATTAGGATCGACAGGTACACGTCAAAGTGGATCCTGGCCTTGCCGTTTTCAAGACACCGCTGAAGCTCACTAATGAGTTTGTTAGAGACGTTGTTCGCTCTGCGCTCGGTTGCTGCGGACAATTGGAATGTTATCAGATTGTAGATATCCTGATCGTCGCTGCCCGCAAAGTCCTCAGGGCCGCGGGGAACGACAACACCTTGGTGTTCTTCAGAGATGTACCAGCCGCGCTCACGGTCAAGAATCTCAATAAGACCCCATAGGTCGATGGCAAGTTTCAAGATTTTGCCGGTGGCCTTGTCCTCAGGGAATTTCTGCGCAGAGTCCAGGACCACTTGCATAAAGTGGGAAGGCTCACGCTGTATAAGGGTGGGTAAAATGAGCTTCAAGAACTCTTCCATTCGAGCCGGAAGGTCTTCCTTGTCTTGATCAATCATGACGACTTGAAACAGCGCATGAGGTTGTTCCGGAGGCTGGCCATCTCCGTTTTGCTGCTCTGCTCCTTCGGGGACTGTTTCGGGCTGGGGCTGACGAGGCGTGACCAGAGCAGCAAGACTGAGACTGGGACTGTCTTCCCACAAGGAAACAACGAGAGAGGTGCCGTTTGAGAGTAGTTGGTAGGATTGCCTGGCCTGCTTAACTCTAGTTTGCGCAAGAACAACAATCAAAGCAGCTGAGTAGAGGGTCAACTCTTGATTGAGACGAGTCCGAACACAAGGATACGTCCAGTGACGGGGGCCTTGGATCTTGCGGCATTGGTCGCAGGGGTCATGGGTGCCGCAGGTCTTTCTCAGGATGCGGCATCGAATACAAGCACCTTTCTTTCGGGCAGCTTGAACTTCCTTACGTCGGACCGGGGTATACGCCTTTCTTTTGTGCTCACTCAACGTCCCATTGCCAATGGGCATTCTGGTGCCGCCTCTGTTAGGAGGTGCAATGGTAGCGACATGAGTCGCAATAGTGGGGTTGTGACTGGTAGTCATGTAAGTCATCTCCCCCCAGGGCTGTTGAGGAGGAGTAGCGTTGTTGAGGTCGGGAATCGCGTTGGTGACTTCCGCTGGCGACATGATGGGGCTTACGATCTGGGCCTCATGATGCTCGGCAGTGAGCTGAGGGTCCATTAGGGTGTGAGTGAGACGGGCGGTTGCAGCGGCAGCAACAGAAAGATCCGACGAGTCTAGAGAATTGGCGGCGGGTTGCTGCGTTGCTGCTTGAAGGTGCTCCATCTTCTCTTCGGTGGTGAGGAAATTCAGAGGGTTGGCGCTTTCCTGGGAGGCCGACTCTGCACATAGTCAGCATTGACCACTTGCACTCATCTCAACTCACGGTGAGAGGAGACCTTTTTTTTTCTTCTTTTTTTTGGCCACGAGGATCATGGCAAGAGGATGACAAGACTTCTCGAGAGGTGCAAGGGGTGGAGTGAAGGAGGTAAGAAAAAAGAAGAAGAAAAACTCACCCTTTCTCTCACGAGCAGGCCTGTTCTCATAGCTCACCGGTGGGTTCTCCAATGTGAACTGTTCCTGGACCTCAAAGCCCATGCCCATGCCCATGCCCATGCCCATTTGACGAGCGGTCGGATCTGCGACTTCTCGTCCTGGAGCTTGAGGAACACCCATCTCGTTTTCTCCAACTTGACGTGAGGCTTCTGCGAGGGTACGCAACGCGGACCAGTTCTCTGGGGCCTCAGTCGCGACTTCTGCTGCGGCTGTAGCATCAAGCTGGTTGACAGTAAGATTCATGGACCGCGGGGCGGACGCGCCTGAGTGAAGACCAGCAAATCCGAGTGCGGCATTGATACGTTCCTCTGGTGTTATGGCGGGGCATTTTTCGGTAATGTGTTTGTGCAAAACTTCGCCGCGGCCTTTGGGGAAGTTCTCACCGCACAACTTGCAGGTATGGGGATATCGGTTACTAGAGTCGGCCAACTTGGGGCCCCTCGTGAAATACTCCCCAATGACGGGGTTTGGTTTTCTGCCCATGATGACTGTCTGAACGCCCCCAGCCGAGTACACAGGCCGAGGATTCAGAGGTGCTGGTTTACAGGACAGAGCATGCACTGTTGACCGCCGGAGACCGAGTGGTTGAGAGACGGGCTCGCTGTAGGGTCGCGGTGACCGCCTTTGAAATTCTGCCCTCCGTGTCGATATCGGCGAATTGCCAGCGGATCAGCGCTCTGAGATATAGGGAATAGATGCCAATGTCGGCGTAGCAGTCTGGAGATATTGCAGGCAAAAAATTGCCTTGCCTGGATTATTCCAGCGCGTGACAATGATCGATCTGCCTTTGCTTGACCTGGAGAGAACGATGCAATTCACAAATTCTGCCAAAATTTTACACCGCTCTGTGCCAAATTTGGATGAAGATAATCCGGAACACCCCGTCGTCCACCTGTCGGATTAATGATGGTAGGGATGTTCAATCACGTGAGTGACACCCCAGGAAGGTCACACCCAGATGCTCACCAGTGCCATCAGCTGGCACCAGATGTGCCCATTTCGGCCAACATCGTTAGCAGCACAGGTGCGCCATGGTTGCGGTTGCCGTTGCCATACAATACGGGACTACCCTCGTAGGCATTCGAGGTCTCCGAACTCTTCATTCCTGCTCTCATTCCTCACTTTTGAGAGCAGAGGGGTCGAAACTCTGGCTCCACGTGCGCGTCCCTTTGATTCCCGTTGCACAAATGTTGTCATATGCCATGCAGCTGTAGGTTGCCATGAACGCTACTGGATTTCTATAGCGTTGTACAGAGTACAGAGGAGTCTTGAGAAGTCTTCCACACGTGCATTGGCGCATTTGGCCCGTAGGCTCAAAGTCCCCCTCCGCGGTCGGATGACACTGGCTCGTGTCCCTCTGTTGGGGGGCACTTCAAACTACTCCGAGTACCTGAGCTACCTGGGAACTCTCAAGAAACGTGCAAGTCTCGGCGTTGTCGTTACTTAATGGAACCTGTCCGGCACGGGGCCGAATGCAGGCCACATGCGAGGGCCGAGTGGCTTCAGTGTCTCCGGCCGTGTCCTCGAGAACGTCTGATTGACGCTAATGGTAACAGGATAGGGGGGATGCCATCAGTGACCTCGACTCCCTCCGATCCATAGATTCCCCAGATGAATCCGGGTCTCGGCATCTAGCCCCCAGATTGCTCAAAGAACGTGCCAACCCGTTCGGCCCGGGCGCTGGCTCGTTGGTTGGCTGGGCTGCACATCGAAACGTTAATACTTGACACCTTCGGGGCGGCGCATCAAGACTCTGTATGCCCCCATTTCCACGATATGGCCGCCAAAAAGACAGGCAACCCCGACGAGACCCGAATTTTCCCCTCCCTCGCAGCGCTTATCCGACGGGGCCTATGTTGAAGGGTTACATTTCGCGCACCTGGGATCTCTGCTTAGTCTCGTTGGGCGCTTAGGTAAACTTGGCCAAGTACCGTTCCCGGAGGGGTCAGATCAGAGACGGGACGGCCAACAAGCGAAGGGTTAGCTGGATAAGTAATGCCGCGAAATGAGCCCAACAGCCCCCATTACGAATCCGTCAACACCAAGACTTTGCGCGGCTCGTGGCACTCACGCTCTGAGCACCGCACCGTCATCTGCAGCCTGCCATCCAGCGGCTGTCTTAAACACCGCTTTCTGCCTCACCTCCGTAGCCATTTTCTATATATCTATCCTCCCCCCCCCCGGGTCTTGTCATGCCATCCTGAAAAGCGCCTCGTCCAGTCACAGTCTTTCGTTGCGGCACGTTGCCTGTCCCTCTTTACCCACACCACGGTCCCTACAGCCTAGAATACGACGTCGTCTTTACCTCGTGGGAGCTCCTGCAACGTCGTTTCGTGCTTGTTCTTGAGATCTGGGTCGTTCATTGCTTTATCAGATCTCCAGCAGAGTCCCGTCTTCCCCGCCTTCCTGCTTGAGACCCGTCACTCGGAGACTTGCCCAGGGTGGGCAATCCAGGTGCCAGTGCTTCGGGCAATTGTCCTTTCGAAATATACTTATACATCAAGGTGGGCGAAGGTTTGTTGCAAGACTTCGATTGGCACGCGTCTTTGCTTTTGTTTTTTTCCCGCACTAGTTTGAAGTTATCAGACCTTGCGCCTTTGTCGGAAAATGCGGCGCGGTGTTCTTTTGCACTTGGCGTCGACGGTGGCAGCACAGTCTGCCGACCTAGCCGGCTATGTTTTGACAGATGTAAGTTGCTTGAGATCTGGAGCTAGCGTAGGAACTGACATATCCCCAGACTGGCTCCGTGGGTGGAGGCAACACGTTCCCCGGGGTTTCGAGGCCCCTGGGCATGGTCAAGCTAGGGCCTGACCTCGAGAACGGGGTCGATGCCTACTCTGGATACCTTCCCGATGGCCACTTCATAGGCTTCTCTATGCTGCACGAATCCGGTACTGGAGGTGCCCCGAAGTATGGCGTCGTCAACCAAATGCCTGTTGTAGGCGACATCGAGAATCCGTTGAGCCAAAACACCGACACCCGGGCGCAGCCCGACGAGACTGAGGTTGGCCACTACAAATCGTTTCTCAGCTCTGGAGTCACTGTCGAACTCGGGGCGACAAAAAAGGCCGGCCTCTATCAGTACAGTTTCCCTAAAGAGAAAGGCTCTTCCAATGTAATCGTAGACGTATCTCATGTCCTGCCATCGTACAGGGGACAGGGTCTGGGGCAGAATTATTTGGGGGGGAAGATTGAGATCAAGGAAGGCGATGACTTTCACTACGAAGGTTACGGATACTATGACAACGTAAGCTATGCCAACCATGCCACTTGACTCAGGAATCTCGACTGACCCCCAAAAGGGCTGGAACCGCGCGGCGAAATGGCAAGTATTCTTCTGCGGCTACTTTGACAGCACACCGACTTGGAAAACATTTCTCGGCAAGGACCTCACGTCGACCGAGCTTTCGGAGTACGGCGTAGAGACGACTTATGAATCCGAGACCCAGCGGCTGGGAGCCATCTTCACTTTCGAAGACACTGCCGTCAAGTCGAGGGTCGGAGTCTCATTCATCTCCACGTCCCAAGCTTGCAGCAACGTGAATGCGGAGATACCCGCAGACAAGAGTCTGGCTTCCGTGAGGCAAGCCACTCGGGATGCGTGGAACACAGAGGTGCTCTCCAAAGTCAGGACATCCGACACGAACACGACAAAGCTCACCCAGTTGTACACGGCCTTGTACTTCATGAACCTGCTTCCGACCAACAAGACAGGCGAGAACCCCCTTTGGGACTCCGATGAGCCGTACTATGATGACATCTTTACGTTCTGGGATACTGTAAGTCTCGCGCGCGGAGATTCTGACTTCGCATGTAGCTAATAGGCCATATAGTTCCGTTGCACCACTTCGCTCCTTCATATCCTCCAACCCGAGGCTTATGAAGAATTCATCCGTTCCATGATTGACATCTGGCGCCATGAGGGCTACGTCTCCGACGCCCGCTCCTCTTTCTTCAACGGTGCCGTACAAGGTGGCTCCAACAGCGACAACGTCCTCGCCGACGCGTACGTAAAGGGCGTCCGCGGTAAGGTCGACTGGAATGACGGTTTGTCTGCCATGCTCAAGAACGGAGAAATCACCCCACCGAACAACAACGATCCTCGTGACCGCTCCAGCTCGACCAAGGAAGGCCGCGGCGCACTCCCCGACTGGCTAGAGTATGGGTACATTACCCCGACGTTTGCTCGCGCTGTTACTCGCGCCGTGGAGTACTCAACAAACGACTTTGCCATCTACCAGGTGTCCAAGGGCCTCGGTCTGACGGATACTGCAGACAAGTACCTCAAGCGCTCTCGCTACTGGCGTAACCACTGGAACGAGAACATGGAGGCTCTTGGCTTCAAGGGCTTCATGGGCCCCCGCAACTCGGACGGGAGCTTTCCGTCACAGGACCCCCTTGACTGCGGTGGTTGCTACTGGGCGGAGGCATATTATCAAGCTACGCCCTGGGAGTACTCGTTTAACGCGCACCACGATGCCGCACACATGATCGAGCTTGTCGGCGGAGCGCAAAACTACTCTGACAGGCTCGAAAAAACCTTCGAACCGGGACAGTACAAGGGCAACGGCCAATTCGGCAACACAATTTTCAACCCGGGCAACGAGCCTAGCTTCGGCACGCCGTACCTATTCAACTTTGTTAATAAGCAGCACCTCAGTGTTGAACGTTCGCGTTTCGTCGCCAAATCCTACTACAAGCCCGCCCCCAACGGCTTGCCAGGAAACTCCGATGCTGGAGCTATGGAGTCGTGGCTGCTTTGGAATATGATCGGCCTGTATCCCTTGACAGGACAGACGACGTTCCTTGTTGGCTCTCCCTGGTTCTCAGACCTGACCATGTCGCTCGGCGGCGGCCGTGAGCTCAACATCACGTCGACGGGCGGGTCCGAGGAGTCGTTCTACGTGCAATCCTTGCGCGTCAACGGTGAGGAATGGGACAAGTCTTGGGTGTCATGGAACGATCTCTTCGCTGAAGGGGGCTCGCTTGAATTCGAGCTGGGGACAGAGCCCAAGGAGTGGGCGACGGGAGAGCTGCCCCCGAGTCCGGCTAGTGTGGACTCACCGAGCTCCAGTTCGAGGTTGAGGCAGCAGCGGCGAAGGCGCTGGTGGCGTCGCGGTGACCAACATGCCATTGGATGGTAGTTTATTGCGTGTTATGGCCGACATTGGTGGAGCCAGCTTTGGCCAGCTTGTGGTTCTCAACTGGGAAGTATTCCTGGACAACCTCTTCATAATCTAAACTTTTTGATGCTGATTAGTACAGTGAGCAGAGCGGAAGGAGAAAGCATATCTTCCGCTCTGCTCCCTGAATCTCTTGCCAATCTATGGGTGTCTCTTGTGTTGAATTCTCAAAATCACACAGCCACCGTCGGCATTCTTCACACACAATCACACATTTGAGTTTTCTCCTACACAAAGGACTGAAGGTAAGTGCTACATAGCAAAAACGACTCATATTTTCACACACAAACTCCTTCGCTATGCCAATATCGCCTTTAAACATAGAATGCGGAGTGAGGGTATCGAACTCATTATGTACCTGCGAAAAGCAACGTTGTATTCTACTCTTGGTCAGCGGGATTCTCCTCCGTCCCAAACGTTCTTGAAATCGTCTGTATCTCCCACACGAAAGTTGTTGTTAAAGTCGTCTTCTTGTTCACTCTCCGCCCAAGGTGAAGCCATGGCTTCTTGTAGATGAGGTGACTCTATGTCTTTGTCTGCGTCTTGTTGAGCAACAGGATGTATTTCGGGTTGAACCGGTGGGGCAGGTGCTCTTGCAGAATCAGGAGCCGGACTTGGCTGCTTGGTTGACGGCCCGGACTCTGAATGAATCGGGGATGCTGTTGAACCTGGTCTCTCAAGAGGCTCTTGCTTCTGTTTTTGTTTCTTCTTCTTCTTGCTGGCAACTACTATGGGTTGATCAGGCCGAGGAGACCGACGGAGATGTTCGGTGGTGGAACGGGATGAGGACGCAAAGCCCAAGCTGCCTTGAGAAGACATATACCGCTTGCTCAACGGCTCACTCGCCGTGATTACGGGATACTAGATGAGGTCAGTAAGTTGCATGAACGTCGCTTTGGGATCTATCTTACATTCCAATCACCAAACTCTAGCTCACGTGCCTTGGTATAGAGTTGCTCTTCATCTGGGTCAATCTGGGGATCATTGGCCAGGTCTTCATTGAAAGTGCCGTTGGCATAGTTGTACTCTTCGCTCGGGCCGCCCGCAGTTCCCACGAGCAATGGATCCCGCTCGTTCATATCACGGTTGACTTGACGGTCAACCTGGCCGGGTGTCGGTATCCAGTACTTTCCCTTTCCGCCCCTAGAGTACCGCATGCCCTCCTTAAGCCTGCCAAGCCTGGCGCGTGACTCTTCGTGGGCCATGATCTTATCTCCTGAGTCGAAAGCACGGTATCCGTATTTGTCGCCTTTGAGGGTCTCCTTGGTGTCCTCGATCAAATCTCTAACGCCAAAAGCGTCACGGAAGGCGAACTTGACAGGCATCCTGGCAGACAGGATGCTGTTGTCAGCGAAGTCGTGCCAGGAGAAAGCATACCAGTGGGCGATGGCGAACGCAGGCATCTCTATGCAAATCAGAGCATCCTGTATGGCCGCAGCCAGGTTGCTGGGGGTGTAGCCTTCGACATTATCCGGGATGGCACCCAGCCAAACGAGAATCGAGAGCAGAAATCCCTGCCAGTAGGATGCAAAGATGATGAGTTTGATACACAGAAATTTGGGCACCGGGCGAAAAGGAACCAGGTCGTTGTGCATACACACCCAGAACAGACCAAGGCAGTACAGACTGAGGGTCACACTGATGTTGTAAATCAGGCTGCTCCAGAAGTAGCCCGACTCGGCCCCGATGTATCCTTCTTGGTAGGTTCCGGTTGCCTTCATAATGACGGTTGCTAGAGCAAGAACAGGTTTGAGCCATGCATATTGAAGAATGCCGCGCTTGATGGCGAGGAAGGTATGAGGGTCAGATATGTCGACTCGGGCAAGGACATGATTCATGGGCCAAAGGTGGTGAACGGGCTCCCGGCCATGGGTCATGATGATCAAAGCGCGTTCCCCACTGAGGTAGTTGATAAGGAGTTGGAAGAAGGTGTAGATGGTGAAAGCCTGAGAATGTCAGATAGGAAAGGCTGTAGCTTTGGAATAAGGTGTACCTCGTAGATATCACGGACAGGGTCGAGAAACGAGGCAGCCGTAATGGAAACCATGCTCGTCCATGAGGCGATGGAGTAGATGGGGACCCTGAAACAGCCAGTTAACGACGCGGACGCTTCTGCTACGACATCAAGCCAACGTACATGAGCAGTATCCGAATGACATAGCGCTGGAGCAGAGGCTTGCGATAGTTTTTGCTATATCCATATTAATGGCTGGGCATCGTGAAGTGGATCGCGAGACGGCCTACGACTGCAGGAAGATGGAACTATGGAGCGCATGTTAGCCTCAGCTCTGATTGTCTTGAGAAGGACCCAGGGCTCTGCTCACACGCCAGACAAAAGTGTCGCTATCAAGGCCGCGACACCGGAGACGATGATAGTCGCCGCGGTCAGCTTCTCGCCCGTGCCGCCCGCCATATTGTCTGCGGCGCGGAGAGATGCGTCAAGTGCGGTGGGTTGTGGTGATGGTGGTCGTGTGCCTAGCTAGGAGCCATCGAGGAAGCTCAGGTCGAAGAAGAAGTGGGAGACGCGCGAAACGAGCAGTATCGTGCGGTGGCGGTCGATAGTAGGTGGTTTTCGCAACCACAAGTTGACCTATCGCCAGCAAAGAGTCTGCAGATATAGCAAGGGACAAGGACAAAGTGGGCGAGACTTGAAGAGGGGAGCTGCAACCTTCAGACGCGACGGCGACGGCGACGGCGACGGCGACAGCGATGACGATAGACCGTGCTGCCCTCAGCTGCTGTTGCAGTCGTAAAGTGTTGCGTAAGTGTAACTTGCCAGACGTAAAGGAGCACAGGTCGCTGCAACAACTGAAGGTACGTACCGGCTGTACGTCAGGCGGGCCAGACCCTCCGCCAGCAGCTGCACCGACTGACTACCTTAATTAGAGCTTCCAATTAATTCTTAGCAGACAGGCGGCAGGCAGCTCCCTTGGGCTGCTGGGGTAGATGGTTTCACCGCATGCTTGGGGCCGTGACATGTGGGGGACGGGGACAGTTGAGTCTTCCACCTCACGCCTCCAGAGGCTGATTACGATGATACACTCCACTGTGAACGGGAAGCTCCAGCAGGGCTCCCACCTACCTTAGGTAAGGTACCTAGGTAGTAGGTGCGGATACCTACCTTACCTACCACTTCCGCCTGCCTTAGGTACTTGCCTTACCTCAGGCACTTAGCGCGAGACAACAGCCCCATCACATGGATGCGCTGGAGGGCAGGAAGCTGGTTCACAGTCCGGGCGCCTTCCATGCATCACTGAACCTACCTTACCAACGTATGAATCGTGGGTGGGCACCTACGCTTTGCATTTGATCTGCATTGGTTGGATCCCGAGCTTCCATCCCGTCCCAGCTTTCCGCTACCTCACCTCACCAACCGCAACTGACCGCAGCACACCTCACCGTATATGCTCTCTCTTGCCTGCTCAACATTACAACCCGACTCGACTTCTCGATCCCCCATAATCCGAACGCGATCCCCTCCAAATGCTCCATCTCGCGGACTGCTAGCACTGCTTGCGACTGCTTGCTAGCTCCGTGCTGGTGCTCCTCGGACAACACCACCACACTTGCACCAATCTCCCCTGCGACCTGCGACCACGAACACCCGAACCCACACGAGAGACATGGCAGAAGAGTAGATCGAGACCCTCTGAATTCGATGCCACCGCTTGAGTCTTGCCGCTTCTGAGGATCCCGTTCTGCAATGGCGCAAGAAGGGGAGCCCAATCCCGCTCCGGCGGGAACGCCAGCCTTCAACGGGTACATGACGCGATTTGACATGATAATGCTTCGCCAATGCTGACCGCTGATCCTTACAGGGAGTTTCTGGCCTACATGCTCGTCTGCGCTGCTCTGTGAGAATCGACAACTCTTTGGCAAACAACGCGACCAATTGCTTACTCTCCCCAGTGCCGTCTTCTTTCTCCTTTACTTCAACCGAGCCTTCGGATCCCTACTTTCGTGGGGCATACGCACCTACACTTGGCACCGCTACCGCATTTACCTCGACATCCAGGCGTTACAGGTCTCCCTTCTCGGCGGCCGCATATTCTTTACCGGCCTGCGGTATCACGGCAATAACGAAACCTTTCTCGTTCAACATGGCTACGTCACTTGGAGGTACTGGTTGCGCCGTGTGCGCGAGGTGGACATCAAAGCTTCGGCACAGCAGCAAGCTGAACAGGCATCATTTCTCACAAATGGACGTCACTCAAACCTTCCTTGCAGGGTGACCATGTCTCTAGTTGGCTTGGAGTGGTTCATCTACAATCGAAGCCCGGCATACGACAGCGTTTTGGCTGGACTCAAGGAACCGACCGCTGCCGAGAACGTGTCAACGGCCTTCGAGTCTAAAGAAGAGACGGCGTCTCTCAGAAATCGAGGGCAGAGGGAATCCGAGAAGTCAGATCGCTCACAAGATGCCCCTGAAAAGGAAGCTCCTGGAGCTGCGCTTCTTTCCAGAATAGGAAATACTCTAGGTCGCCGTGGCTCTTCCGCCAGCCAAATTAGCACACCTTCTGATGTGCCTGAAGGAAGTAATGAGGCCACTCAGCCCGACTCCGACCTACCCTTCCTGCTGCAGCTATTCCCTATCTTCGTTACTTGCCAAAAAGCGGCGGTGGTCTTGGGAAACGACAACACGAAGGCCATCTTGATTGTCAAAGCCGATGGACTGTCAGGCGAAATCGATGCCTCAAAAACGTCAACGCCCGACCCGTACAAACAGATCTTCAAGATCAAATTCCAGCATCCCATTGTAGAGATGAGAGAAAATGACGACTTCAAAGAGGACCAGGCCGCCAGGGCAAGTCGAGAAAAACTAGTAGCCCAGGAACCTAGTCCGACTTACAAGACATCATTTTTCAAGAGACAACGGCGCCGTGCACTGGGCACTTTGAGGAATCTGGTCCCGTACTGGCGCAAATCGGTCGAGTCCTTCTCGTTGGGTTCTAGGAGCCCTCTTACGACAGCCGTATCGCAGATACCTGGGTCCAGTCATTGGCAAGGTTTGGCACGATATCTTGACGAGGACGAACAGGATGCCAGATTGCGTTGGGCTGGCGTAGAATACGCCGCCGAGTCGACCATCGTAGACAGTCCTGAGGCAACGTTGACAATCTACTGGGACGTTGTCGGAAAGGTCACAGCGGAAGCCGCGAGACGACAGTCTAAAGACACGAGCACAGCAACGTACATCAATGGCGATGAAGCCCCGGCTTGGGGAATGATCCTCGCCATCAAGGGTGGAATTGTAAACTACGGGCCATGGGCTGACCGCCAGAGGGCCGATCTTCAGCGTGTTTTTGTGCCCAGTCTATCCAAGGACGCAATTCCTGCGACCCCTCTTGCAGAGGGTGCGTACCGTGTTCCTACCCAGTTCAAGTTATACGTCGAATTGGACGAAGAGGTGACACTACGCATACCAATACGAGAGGATTCCAAGAACTGGAGATGGAAAGGAAAGGAGCCTCCCATGAAAACGACACCCCCGCAGCAGCAACGGCGGAAACAACGAAATCGGGCCAAGAAAGACATGAAGCCTGATGCCGCCCCTCTGCGTCCCGGCGGTTGGCTTGATTTCATCGTCCCTGGCAATTCGACAATCTCTTTCACAATGGACATGCTGGCCAGCGCAACCGGGTACCAAATGAAATTAGACGTTGATCTGCCTAGTACTGAGCTTGCAAGTAGCGTTAATCATGAGCTCCTGTGGCGCTCAGGGGCTCAGCGCATATCCTGCGATTTATCTACGCCCCTGAAGTGGAACTCATTGAGATCCTGGTACTTCAACGTCGTCGCAGACGAATTGGAATTGTTCATTCTCAGGGACCATGTCTTCCTTCTGATTGACTTGGTCGACGACTGGGCCACAGGTCCGCCAGCCGAGTACCTGGTGTTTACTCCCTTCAGATACTATCTCAACTTGGACCTCCGCAACGTCAAGTTGTATCTGAACATCAACGACGGCAACATCATCAATAACCCCACTGACTTGGACGATAATGCGTATGTCATAGCTCAGAGCCCGTCCCTGGTAACGAATGTTTGCATTCCTATCGACAAATTTCGGCCCAGCATCAACGCAGTCTCTTTTGCTCTCGGTGCGGAGGCTTTCAAATTGTCTTTGCATGTGCCACCGTGGAACACACAAGCGGCGTTCATCACATCGAAAGAGATTGGCCACGGTGAGAATTTCGAGCTTGACGGAAAGTATCATTACAACGCCACGACGTCGCCAGCCAATATTGATACACTGACCCTGAACATGGGTGTACAATCGCCCACCATAACCCTGTATGGCTTTCTGATACGATACTTTCTGGTGCTGAAGGACAACTACCTTGGAGACTACATTCACTTCAAAACTCTGGAAGAGTATCAGGAACTTTTAAGAGCGAAAGAACTTAATCCTGACGCGGAGTTGGCAACACGACCGCCGCCGAAGAAATCAAACGATTTAGACGTCATTCTGTGTGTCAAGGTTGATGACCCTCGCATACTACTGCCTGCCAATCTGTACTCCAGCCAGCGCCACGTTCAAATCGAGACCGCTGGCCTGTCGTTAGATCTCCGTTTCACGAATTACTACATGGATCTGCAGGTCAACCTCAATCCTCTGAACCTGTCTCTCGGAAACACAGAATCAGGCATGGAGACGCCAATAAGTGCAGTATCAAGCACGCAAATCTTCGTCGACGGTATCACGATTTATGGCCATCGTTTGTTTGGACTCCCTCCCACAGAACCGACATACCTGTGTAATTGGGATATTTCTGTTGGAACAGTCTCAGGCGAATGTTCGACCGACTTTCTGACTGCATTGATCAGTGGAGGCAAGGCCTTCGCGTTCGAGTTCGACGACGACGAGAATGCCTTGATACCGCTTTCGTCAATTGTTGTGTACGATGTCACCTTCTTGAGGGTAGCTGTGCAAGCCGTTCGCGTCTGGTGTCATGTGGAAGACGCAGCATTCTTTTTCTCTACCGGCACGCTTGACGTTAAGTTCAATGATTGGGCTCGAACGCATTACTCCAGACGTGCAGACATCAAGATCCCCGATATTCAGGTTTCGTGTGTTAACTCCGAGTCTGCCATGCGACACAAGTGGAAAGCTCAGCACGGCGTTGAGACCGATGCCTTTTTCCAAGCCTCTATCCGAGTGGCCATAATCGGAAGAAAGTTCCATTTTTCTGAAGAGCGCAAGTTGCAACAGGAACTCATTCGCCGTGAAGATCAGCGGACAGGTCGCACCGAATTCCTGTTGCTGCCCAGCATCTTGGAGGAGATGCTCCCTGATCAACAAGATCCTCCTGCCCAAGGATTCCCGCCAGTTCCCCATCCAACGGTCTTGGACGGCACCATCGGAGATCAAAGATCTTTTGATAGCCGGTCAACTTTCAGCCGCAGCCGGCG